GCTTGGCCGGGGCAGAGGAGCGCCGCTGCGCGGCCGGCAGGGCGAGGACGGTCCCCGCTTGCGTGGCCGGAGGGGAGGCGCTGGGGGATGTCCGCGGGCCGTTCCCCGGGGGCCTGCCAAAGGCTGCAGCGGCGCCTGGGTACGATCGGCTGATTCAGGCGCCGCGTGGAAGGACGGGCAAAGCTGTCTGCGGAGGAGAGGCTGGGCTCGGCGGGTGGGCCGCGGCCAGGCCCAGCAGCTCAGCCCCCCTGTCCTCCTACAGCGCCAAGCATGACTGAGGGGCCGATGAGCAAGGCAGCCACCATGGAGATCCCCATCCACGGCAACGGAGACTCCAGACGCTTGGCGGACGACGACGGCTTGGAGCAGGTATCCGGGAGGGGGGGAGTGATGGTGGGTGGGTGGCTGGCACGGGACCGGAGGGTCTGGGGATACCCGTGGCGGCGGTACCTTTTCCCTTTAGCCAAGGGTCTTAGAAGAAGCCGCGATAGTTGGAAGGGGGTCGGGGGAGAGAAAAAGGCATAACGCCCAGATCGCAAGAATCGCGTCCCTCTCTGTTCTGCAAGACCCCATTTGGAGTCTTGTTCAGTTCGAAAAGGACAGGGACAAATTGGAGGGAGTTCGGAGAGGGCCACGGAGATGGCGAAGGACCTGAAACCAAGCCCTAGGAGACCTGGTTATGTTTAACATGCAGAAGAAACTATTGGCGAGCGCAGCCTTCAAATATCTGAAGGTTTACCGTGCAGAAGAGGGAGTGGGCCTGCTCTCTGTGGCCCCAGGGCAGGGCCAGAACCAGTGACACGGAAGGAGGTGCAGGCTAGATGTTTGGGGCCAGTGGAGCAGGCTGTCCCATGAAGTGGTGCATTTGTCTTTTCTAGAGGTTCTCAAACAGAGACTGGGTGCCGTCGATGAGAGGGGCTGAGTTTTTGAACGTTTTCAGGTTGTGGTAGAGTAGTTAAAAAAAGTTCCCAGAGCTCCTGATCAAGAGGCAAAGCTCTAGGGACAGAGCATTGACTGTATTCTGACGGGTATTGCCCTCTCCCCTAGGTCTCACAGAACTATTCTGTGGAGTGCCTTTGGAAAAACCCTATTCCAGTGGATCTGACACCTAGCAGGGGCTGAACTAGACAGCCTCTCGTGTGTTCCAGCTCTGATTTTATGGAAACAATAGAACAGCCTATTCTACTGGACTCCGTGTCCCTCCCACCCTGTAACTTTGCCCTCTAAAAATTCCCGCTAGCTGTACAGAGAGCTGAGACACTGAAAAAATGCCACTTGCTGGAGAGGCAGCTTGTGGTTTGATTCCTCCTCCTCCCCACCCCTTCCCTAGGACTTGCAGCAAGTGATGGTGTCGGGGCCCAACTTGAACGAGACCAGCATTGTGTCTGGAGGTTATGGGGGAACAGCCGAGGGCATTGTCCCCACCAACATCGTCAAAGGTCAGAATTTGCAAGGGCTTCTGGGCCTGCTGGGGGTGCCCGGCTGCCTGGGCCTTACTCAGCTTTCTCAGCCTCAGTACCCGTACCCCCCACCATGCAGACGGCCATCTCAGTTCCCCCAGACCAGGGGTCTATCTGAGGTAAAAGGGAGGCGGGGCAGCTTGGTGGTCTCCTTTCGCTGTCTCATTGCTCCTTTGGAATGCCACATCCCATCCCACCTCGTCTCCTTGCTCATGTGTCATGGCTCATCACCCCCACCCTTGTGTTCTTTTGCCCCCTCTGCGGCTCCTCTCCCCTCCGGTACCCTCCATTTCAGGCTCCCTCGTTCCACCTCACCCACCCCGAGGACCACTCATCTCCCCCAGTCCTTCAGCTGCCAGCCGGATAGCCAGCCAGGCTGCCGTGCCCACAGGTATCGTCCTGCCCCTTCCAGCGTGGGGCCAGGGGGTGGATTCACGAGATCTCTGTGGCATCTGGGGAGATGGAGTGTTCGCATCCCGGCCTTCGCATCCCTTCGGATTTCTTTGGCTGGGGAAACGTGCGAGGTCAGGAGAAAGGGGGTAGCTGTCTTTCTGGTGGGAATCCTCTCTTGCCAATTGCAGGTTCCAGCTTGCATCAGCCCCACCCCAACCCACCCATGACAGGGGAAGAGGCGGCGGCAGCGGCGGCTGCCACGCGCGGAGTGGCCGTGGAGAAGTTTGACATTGTCAGGAAATGGGGCATCAACACCTACAAAGTAAGTCATTTCAGAAGGGAGGGGAGGGGGCAGAGGCACCCCAGCTCATGGTCCTGGACACTGCAGGGGCTCTGGATCCCATTTGCTCTTGAAGCACCTTGTGGGGCCTTCAGGACCGATGCAGCGGTTCTGCGGGTGCATCTGATAAAGCGGCCTGGGAAAACACATGCGGCGGTAGGCTGCATTTGAAGACTCTGCCGGTGGGGAAATGGGTGTCCGTGGCCACTTGGCTGGACCTTTCTTGGCCAGAAGGCGGGTGGTCCTGCAGCCAGGCAACTGCCTTCTTTTAGCAGAGGGCCATTGGGTCGTTATCGTGGTCAGGGTGCCTCTTTCTTGGCTGCTGAGTGACAGCTCTCCAGCAGCACCCTTTCTTCTGAGGCAGCTTGGCTGCCCCCGCCTGCCCCATCAGTGCCGGAGAAGGTGCCCTTCCTCAGACCTTGGCTTTCTTTGCTCCTGCTGTTGTAAGTTAATTTTCCATGGTTCTGACAGCTTTTAGGACACGGTCTTCTCAGATGCAGCTTGCACATAAGGATAAGAGATCCTTTTCTGAAAGTCAGCCTGCTCTCTGCTCTTCCCTCATGCACACGCCCAGTGTACCAAGCAGCTGCTCTCGGAACGCTTCGGACGTGGCTCGCGGACCGTCGACCTGGAGCTGGAGACCCAGATCGAGCTGCTGCGTGACACCAAGCGGAAGTATGAGTCCCTGCTGGGCCTGGCGCGGGCCCTTACCAACCACTTCTACAGCCTCGTCCAGACACAGCACGCCCTGGCGGATGCCTTCTCGGACCTCAGCCAGAAGTCCCCTGAGCTCCAGGTGAGCGCTCCTCTCTCTCTCCCCTCCTCCCCCTGGAAGACCAGGGGCTGCCAGCTCTCTTGGTGTGCTGTGGTGCAGGTCGGCAGGGTTCTGTTCACCCCGACCTGCAGCCTTTAGCAGAAGGGTGCATCAAGAGGTTGGGCTCTCCCTAGAGAACCCGCCGGGAGGCAGCAATGGGAATAATCAGCAAGCTCACGCATGCTGAGGCTGTCAGCTTTTGCGGGGGAAGGTGCTTGCTCTGGGAGGCTGCTCTTGAAGGAGGGTACCACATAGGACCCACAGCCAGAGGCCTCTGGAAGGTGGGACAGCTGCAGGGTTGGTAAGGGAGCTGGGGGCAGGTTAAGGTGTTCCCAAGAGAGGAAGAAGAGAAGGCAGTCAGCGGACTGCGGAAGGCTCTTCTGCCACCATGAGAGGCATGCCCTGAGCAAGGAGGGAGTCAGGCTTTCAGCACAGAGATGAGCTCTTGATGAAGGGAGGCGCAAGGGCACGGCTGTGTGTGTGCCGGTATATATTGGACATGCGAGGTGGGAGGGCCAGCATCTCGAGCCACAGGAGGAGGATTCTGGGAGGAAAGCAACTTCACACTCGGACCCCTCCAAAGTGCTTACATTCAGCGCCCAGGGGAGGCCAGAGCTTCCTGGTTTTTGTCACCAGTGCACCCCCCTAGTCTTATTCCCACCTCCTTAAAACAAGAGACAGCCCTCTGTCTGCACAAACAAGACAAAACAGGCGTCCGGAGGGCGGGCGAAGCTGCATTTCCACAGGCAGAGGTGTGCCACATCCAGCCGGCTCACTTGGGTGGGACCGCCCAGGGGTCCTGCGTGGAGCTTCTCAGATGAGTCCCAACTCCCCCCGTTGCAGGAGGAGTTTGGGTACAACGCTGAAACTCAGAAGCTGCTGTGCAAGAACGGGGAGACGCTCTTGGGGGCCGTCAACTTCTTTGTCTCCAGCATCAACACGCTGGTCAACAAAACCATGGAAGACACGCTCATGACCGTCAAGCAGTACGAGACGGCCAGGTGGGCGGGGGGCCCTCCCTGGAGGGGCACGGGAGCCGGCGCTCTGGGCAGGGGGCCGGCCGGCCGGGGGCTGGGCTCCAGTTGCCACTTTGACCCTCTGGCCCGCGGTGCAGGCTGGAGTACGATGCTTACCGCACAGACCTGGAGGAGCTCAACCTGGGACCCCGGGACGCCAGCACGCTCTGCCGCTTGGATGCTGCCCAGGCTAACTTCCAGGCCCACCGCGCCAAGTATGAGAAGCTGCGGGCAGACGTAGCGGTCAAGCTGAAGTTCCTGGAAGAGAACAAGGTGAGCCCGGGCGGGCGGGCGCTCGCCCCGCGGAGCGCCGCCGCTCTGAGGAGTGCCGCCGCCGGGTGTCCCGCGGACGCTGACTTGCTCTCCCCCGCCCCCAGGTGAAAGTCATGCACAAGCAGCTCCTTCTCTTCCACAACGCGATCTCGGCTTACTTCGCGGGGAATCAGCAGCAGCTGGAGCAGACCTTGAAACAGTTCAACATCAAGCTCAAGAGCCCTGGGGCTGACAAGCCTTCCTGGCTGGAGGAGCAGTGAGCAGGGCCCCGCTCGCCCCTCCTGCCTTCACGGACTTGGACTCGGAGGAGGCGTCCGGCGGGCAGAGAGGGTCCGGCTGCCCCCTCCTGCCCCCTAGCTCGCTGCCGGAGAGGCTCACCGTGGGGCCCACTCTCCTCTTCCGTGCCCTTTCGGGGGCTGGTTTAAGCCCCTTCCCATTCCAAGCGGAGGGCCGGAGCAGCCGAGCCCGTCCCTCCGCAATGCCAGGAAGCAGCAAGCACTTTCTTACTCTGAGGGTGGGGAGAAGGTTGCCCCCACCTGCCCCCGTGAAGGAGTCCCTGCTGCTGGTCAGGCCCCAATCCTGCCCCGGCTCATCCAAATGCTCTCGGCCTCGTGGCTGGCCAAAACTGGTCTTGGGGCCTCAGCCTCCCCAGCCTGCTTTCCTGTGCAGCCTGTTCTCCCTGGGGATTGGGGGCTGCTCTCTGACCCTACCCCACACCTTTAAGGAAGGCAGCTATGGGTTGGTGGTCGGACCTACAGGGGCTGCTCTGGGGGTGAAGAGCCCAAGGTGAGATGGGCCCCCTGTTTTGGGGGCCAAGGACCAAACACTTCCTGGCTCCAGCCTCTGGGGGGTGTGCGTGTGTGTGTGTGCGTGCGTGGCGTGTGCGTTCATCATGGCCAGTGTCCCCCGTGTTGTGTTCCTGGTGGTGGCTGTGGGCGGCAGGACTCCAGGCCTTCTACCCAGCGGGCCCCAACTGACACTCCGGCCCCAGTCTGTAAAGATCCCAGAATAAACGGTACCAAATGGCTGCAGGACAGAAGTTTCTTTAAGGAATCCAGGGCTCGCCTTGGCTGAAATGATGGGATGGTCCTGTGCCTCGAGCCCGGCCTCTTGGCAGGACAGCAGATGGGGCGCGTGTCTGCCATCGGATGCCGCCTGAGCAGAAAAAGGGCGGGGCTCCCGATCCATCTCGCAGCGAGGCCACCATCCCTCGGTGAAGGCCAACCCACGCCGCACTTGCTGGGGATTGGTGTGGGGGGCAGGCCCCTGCTGTCAAGGCCAACTTCCGCTCAGAGGGACAGCAGCTGCCAGGGAGGGACAGTTCTCAAGTTGCATGTTGAGTTCCATCATTTTTGTAACATTTCCTAATTGCTGTCATAGGGCTTGGTGGGATGCTGATGTCCGGTGGCTGCTGAGGGGAAAGGTGGGGCGTACAACCCTTCCAGTTGCTTCAAGGCTACTCAGTTGAAAGGGTTGCATGCCCCACCTTTCCCCAAGTTGAATATGGCTCCCTTCCTGGAGGGAGCCATCTGCTGTTGATGAGTTGTGCTCCCGACAGGATATCTGCACACGGGAGAGCGGCGTGGATAAGGCCATATGGGGCCCCAATAAGGCCCTCTTTGCCCATCCCTTCCCCCAATGGGCCCCTTTAAATCTACCTGAAGAAGCACTAATGTGGCCCCTGTGTGACTTGGCATGGTGGGTGACAGAACCCACTCTGAAGGCATTGTCTGGCTTGGGCAGAGGAGGCCAAGAAAAGTCCCTGGAGCCAAAGGCCCACCTGTCCCAGAGAGGTTCTCATGCCGGCCTTCCAGCCCATGTTCACAGGAGAGCTAACACCCCACGGAATAGCAAGCCTGTGCTGGTTGACCTCAAGAATAGCCCGGCAGCGTGGTCCTGCTGCTAAAAGGGTTAGGGTCCAGGTCATGGCTAAGAATGGGTTCTCTCTGCTGTGTCTGGTTCTGGGCACTGCATTTCAAAAGGGGAAGTGACCCATTGGAGCAAGCTCAGGGAAGGGCCACCAAGATGGGGAGGGGTGTGGGCACCAAGCCCCATCGGGAACGGATTAGAGGACGTGGGTTTGTTTGGTTGGCAGGGGGGATAGATGAGCAGTCTTGGAGCCTGTACAGAATTGCCGTGGGAAGTAGGTAGGACCTGCAAATATGACCTCGGGTCCTTTCCAGCTGCAGGATCTCACGTTATTTCCCAGAGCAGAGACGAGGCAAGCGATCTCTGCCAGTTTCTGGTTCAGTGGCTGTTCACAGCATCCTTACATAACGATAGGTGCATTTGTACAACATTTGTCTTGATTAGTTTTTCTGACTTAATTGCGTTGTGCAGTCAAGCTTGCTGGTTGATTTGTGGCTCTGTGTACTGTATTGTGTGAATCCCGGAAATTAGTTCCTTCAAAAGCAAAGACTAGATTGGGCGAATTGCGCGGGCAGAGCATGAGCCAGCCATGTGCTGCGGCCACCAAAGGAGCTGAGGCTGTCTTGGGCTGCATCAGCAGACGCCAGATTGAGCTGAGGGGACAGTCCTGCTCTCCACTGCACTAGCCAGACTGGCCCTGTGTCCAGTCCTGGGTGCCACAATACAAGGAGGGTGTGGCAGAGACGGAGGCTTAATCCTGTTCAGAGCAGTTAAAGGCGCCTGTTGTGTTCAGCCTGAAGAGGCGGCGGCTGAGGAGAGATGCGATATGCAAGAGCGGTCACAGGATGTGCATTTGGGGCAAGAACCAGCGAGTGAGGCTTTGCTGAGGGAGAGCCAGATGCGGAGTAAGGAGGGGTGGGAGACCCTGCTCCCTGGAGTCCTGGGGGCTCCGTCCCTGGATTCCTACTCTGGGCCTCCAGGGTCCCTTCCAACTCTATCTATCTATCTATCTATCTATCTATCTATCTATCTATCTATCTATCTATCTATCTATCTATCTATCTATCTATCT